GAGTGTATGAGCTCTGTGACTTTTGGGTTTCTCATTTGATTTTCACCAGCCATTTTTCTCAACTGTAAAGTGAGAAGAGAACACACTTTTTTTTAGAGTTATTGTGAAATGCCAGAGAAAGAGCATGTGAAAGTGCTTTGGAAAGTAAAGAATACTTTCAAGTAAAGCTCTTTGTCCTTTCTTTGGTTTTATTTTGGCTCGTACCTGGGAGCTGGCTCTTTTGAAGCGTTCCACACTTCTACCGGTTAATCAAATTCTGAGGGGTGGGTGTCGCAACACAGAACTTGTCTTTTTTTATTCATTAGGCTTTAGGGGAGGAAAGAGGTAAATAAACAAGATCTGCTCAGGCTGAACTCCTATGTTCTTGGAATGCATTTGGATGGGATAGAGGTGAGAAGTACAGATATCATGAGGATCATCCCACTTCTTTGCTTGTCATGGTGCTCATCTCAAAGATTGACATGGTAGAATCTGGTCATCTGTGGAACCAAATGTCAACAAGGTTGTAATTAGCCTTCCTTTTGTTACTTTCCTGGTCCACTTCTCATTTAGAACACAGGTGTTAAGGCAGCTGTTTTGTTCTAACAGTTGGGGAACATATAAGTATATAATCTCCTGTTCTGGTTATCTTTTGACTAGTAACTGCCCTAACAAAAATAAAATAATTAACCATAGCATGGTGCCACCCTATGGGATACTCATACTCAGATATCATTCTTAGATCCAGGTAAATCTGTGCTGCTGCTGCCCTATATCCCATCACTTTTTTTCATTTCTTTCTTTCCTTTTTTTTTTTTGAGACAGAGCCTCAAGCTGTCACCCTGGGTAGAGTGCTATGGCATCACAGCTCACAGCAACCTCCAACTCCTAGCTTAAGTGATTCTCTTGCCTCAGCCTCCCAAGTAGCTGGGACTACAGGTGCCCGCCACAACACCAAGCTATTTTTTGATTGCAGCCATCATTGTTGTTTGATGGGTCTGGGCTGGATTTGAACCCACCAGCTCAGGTATATGTGGCTGGCGCCTTAGCCGCTTGAGCCACAGGCGCCAAGCCACATTTCTTTTTTTTTGAGGAGGGATGTTAGAGACAGGGTCTTGCTCTGTCTCCCAAGCTAGAGTGCAGGGGCTGCATTATAGCTTAGTGCAACCTCAAACTTCCAGGCTCAAGTGGTCCTCCTACTTCAGCCTCCCAAGTAGGTGAATTACAGGCATGCACCACCATGCTTAACTAATTTTCTCTCTCTCCCCCTTTTTTTTTTTCTTTTTTTTTGTATGTGTGTGTGTAGAGACAGGGTCTCGCTCTTACTCAGGCTGGTCTCCGACTGGTCTCAAGCAGTCCTCCTGCCTTAGTCTTCCTAATTGCTAGGATTACAGGTGTGAGCCGTCATGTCTGTCTTGTCCTATGCTTTTGAAGGCCCATCCTTTGGCCATGCCTGCTCCCTTCTAGACCACTCTCTATTTAACCAGGATCCCAAAATTACCTGAGAAAATAATCCTGAGCCTGCTTCCAGGGCTTGGGGAGCCTCTTCCTGAGTCTGTCCTCCAAAAAAAAAAGTAACTCATTTTAAGAGAGGAAAAAACTTTATTAAAATTATAATGCTCTATATACCAATAACAAAAGATGAATAAAGGTCACATTGAGCACCTCTTTTACTTGCAGAAGTCAAACATGACTTGAGTGTTGCAAATTTAATACAGTTTTTTTTTCTATCTTATTTTTGGCATTCTCTGTATGTGTCCCTAGGTCTCAGGTGTAGCTAAGGGGTGACTGAGAGGGATGTTTTCAGAGCTTGGACATACTAGCGTCAACACCTATGCACAAGGCCTCTTGCGGTGCAGGAAGGGACTGGATTATGGAAAAAGCAATGGGGAGGGTGGATTGGGGATCAGACTGTTCCATTTGGACTCTTGTCCCAGCTCTGCAGCCCTCAAGTTCTGGTCCACCCAGAGGAGATGCTCCCTTTTAACCAAGTGCTTGTTTTATTTTATTTTTTAAGTCATTGGGGAAGGGTTTCTTTACCACTCATTTATACAGGCCAAGTGTAGCAGGCTTAACATAGAGTCCAGGTGATCATTTTGAACAGTTCTCAGAGAGTGGGATGGTGGGGGTAGAACAGGTGAGTTCCCTGAAGGGAGGTGCTCTTCAGGTGCTTCTTCTTTGTCTCCCCCCCCCGTAGGTGGTGATGCTGATGCTTTGTGAAAAGGAGGAAGGATTCTGCTGACACAATGAATTTTTATGAAAGAAAGCAGAGAGTTTCCCTCTCTCTGTATACCGCACATCTGCCTGCAGACAAGCTGTCTGCTTCTTAGGGATTCCTTCGTCATCATTTTATTTCTTTTCTGAAGGTTTTAAGGCACAGTTTGGTGCATTCCTTTCTGTTCTCCAGAGCCGGGGGAAAGTCATTATAAATCAGGGCTCTTACCAAAGAGCTTAAAATGGGCGCTGGCAGCTGGGATGTAGAGGAAGAGAGCTTTCCAGGGACAAGTGACCTGCTTGTTCAGCCAATGAGAAGTAGGTTAGAGAAATGACATCACCAGACAGGCTTTATTGTCTGATCATCTCGTAAAAGCAGGATTGTGTCTGGCAACTTGGCCCTTTTTTTAGATACTTCAGGTCTCACCCACACCCTGGTATGTGACCTTTAGATTCTTTTGCCCAGCTGTCTGCTGTGAGACCTCAGAGATTAAAGATTTAAATTAGTGGCAAAATTAGGGGAATTGTAAACTGTTATTTTAAGAAATGGAAATTATTAAATATAGGACCTCGGCTAGCAGGGAAATGTGATTTAAGTTTTGTCTGGAGAGTACATCTAAAGTGGATATTGGTCATAGTCATGTTACATTGCATTTTTACTGTGTAGACTTGGAAGGGAAGGTCAGAGGGGAAAAAAAGACTGAGCCTTTAGGGTATTTTAATCCATACAGTGGGGTCTTACTATCTCCTGTTTTGGAAGAATTGAAATTGGTTCTGCAAATTTAGAAAATATGTTATCATTGATTTAGAGACCAGTTTGTAGAAAGAGACATTCATAATGTTTATTTATGCCTATACTTGCTTATTGCTCCTTCCTCCATAAAAACAACAGTGATTTTACTTCCTCATGCTGCTTTTCACTCACTGTGAAATGAATGGTCCTACCTTATCCCATTAAGTTGGTGAGATAAGAAAATTAACTCATGATTTTTAGATTGTGCTACACACATATATTGTCTTATTATTAGGGTATTCATGTCTTAAGATTGTACATTCATTCATTCATTTGCTGGGCAGTATTTTACAACACCTTGATGCTAGGCGCAAGAGATACAGAGATAGGAAGAAAGTAGTCCCTATCCTTAAGGAACTTAAAACACCATGAGATAGACAATAATGGTAAATAATTTCTCATACTTCCTATTGTGTTTGCCATATGCCAGGCCCTGTTTAAACACCTTGATATATGTTAACTCATTTAACCTTATTAAAACTTTATGAAATAGGTACTATTATTAATGCTACATTTTATAGATAAAGAAATCGAGACACAGAGAGGCTAAGTGACCTGCTTAAAACCACATAGCTAGTGGTAGATTCGGGCTTTGAATCTAGGCCTTGTGGAGCTCTAGAATCTATGCTGTAAATCTGACCTGACCGATATAGTAGTCACTGGCCACATGTGGCTTTGTAGCATTTGCAGTATGACCAGTTTCAGTTGAATTGGGCTATAATTATGCTCATTCTAGATTTCAAAGACCTAGTAAGAAAAAATATATAAAATATCTCATGTTGAAATTCTATGTTGCAATGATAATATTTTGAATGTACTGAGTTAAATTTGGTGATTAATTTCACTTTTTTATTGTAGCTACTAGAAAACTTAAAATTATACAGAGTGGCCATAATAGTTACAACTATTTAAATTGCACATGAACTTCATGGCCACCCGGTATATATGGCTTGTATGTGGGCTCACATCATTTTTAAATTGAGCTGTTCTACTCTAAATCATTACACTGAAATAATAATAATAGCATGTGACATTTTCTTAAAATTTTTTTTCAGAGATAAAGTCTTATCTTACTCTGTCACCCAGGCTGGAGTACAGTGTGGTCATAGCTTACTATAGCTTCAAATTCCTGGGATCAAGTGATTCTCCTGACCCAGCCTCCCAAGTAGTGGGGTCTACAGGTGCACATAACCATACCTGGTTAACTTTTAGGTTTTTTGTAGAGATGAGGTCTTTCTGTGTTGCTTAGACTGGGCTTAGATTCCTAGGCTCAAGCCATCTTTTCACCTCAGCTTCCCAGTGTCTCCTTGTGAAAGTGCTGGGATTATAGTCCTCAATTGAGTTACCACACCTGGCCATGTAGTTTGTTAGCACTGTATGCTACATACTGTGCTAATACCTTTACAAACATTTTTTAAATTAAGACTTAGGAAATCTCCATTTATTATCCCTATTTTATAGAAGGGGTACAAAGTTTTGAGAATGTAGTAGAAATCAGCTAATGATGAACTTCAAGTTTAAAACTATTTCTGACTCAAAAGCCTATGTTCTTAATTAGCAATGGTAATTCTATTTACAGTTGAATCTCAAGCTATTTCTTTGTTTCAATTTTCATAATTAATATGGAATACTTCTGTATCTGACATGTAAAGATCTAAAATGAAATTCAGTAGATCATGGCATAGGCATCCCAGATGGAAATCTCTTTTACAGAGCCTCAGTTCTCAGTGAATACCGACTCAGTTGAGCCTGAGATGAAGCAGTGAATCAGCCTGTGCAAATTGCATTTAATTTTCATTCCATATAGTTTTCTCAGATCACTGGGCACTTTATGTCCTGACCTTCTTTGTCTGTAGAGAAGGGGAAGAAGGGCAATGCAGCTCTGTTTAGTTATTTGGTTCTCTTTGCTGATAAGAAAAAACTGCTTTTTATTTCATTGTTCTCTGAACTGCTGTTTGTGTTTGAGAGAGCAGCAAAATGCTACCTAGTGACCCCTGACTTTTCTTTTTTCTAGAGCAAAGACTCAGGTGGACTGAAGGCAGCTATGATAGAGTTGGTGGAAAGGCTAAAGTTCAAGAGCTCAGACCCTAAGGTAAGTATTATTTTAGAATTGATTGGATGTTGGTACTCTTGGCATTATATTCTCCTTGAGCTAAATTCAAGGGGTCTTAGTGGTCATCTGTCCAAACATTGCATTAAGATCTAATTAAGGCTGCCCATCAAAAATAGTGTTCTAATATGCCTGGAGATAAGTCCTCTATTTTTTCTCCCTTCTCTATTTTATGATTTGCAACACATAATCATTAATTGTTTTCCCTGAACTGGAGACAAGTGCATTTTTAATCTTCCTTTACTGGGCCGTTGAGACTTCAGTCATCTGTGTCCATTAAATCCAGCCAAAGGCATCTGAGATACTGTTCAGCTTAAAGCTGGGGGCTGGAATAGGATCCCAACCCATCCAGTTTGTGTTCAGCATTAGCATCTTGTCTCTCCCCGACTTGAAGGAGCCAGCTGCCACAGTGAACACTTTTGTCCTCACAACCTGGAGTCTGGTTTGTGAAATGGCTTAAGCATCCCAGCTTTGTTTCAAGATGTTAGGGCCTGGAGGGTTGATATTCTGGGAGACACCATACCAGGGTGGGGGTGGACTTGGAACTGAACGTGCTAGGGTGTGGGGGATGGATTATGACTAACAGACTCCCTTCTTCTTTCTACCCAGACACTTAACTGTGGCACTACCTGGTATTGGGGCCAGCTGGCTCTGCTTCAGTCTTAAAGCCTCTCACAATTAAATAGGAAAAGGAGCATGATTCTATTTTACCTGTGTATCTTTTTGTTTTCTATATTATTTATAAGGGGAATGGGACTAGTATTTATTTCTTAAGCATTTATTGAGAGCCAGCCACTGTATGTGGAGCCTTATATAATTGTGCTAATACATAACAAAATTTTAACCATTTTTAAGTGTAAAGTTCAATGGCATTAAGTACATTCATATTGTCATGCAACCATTACCACCATTCATCTCCAGAACTTTTTCATTATCCCACATTGGAACTCTTTACCTTCTTTCTAAATCACTTCCTCTCTCCCTCTTTATACTTTTTGATTACTGTAACAACCCTGTAAAGTAGCTTATTGTTCCTATTTTATCAATGTGGACACTGAGACTTAGGTAGAATCATGTGCTCCAAATCTGCTATGAAGTAGTGGAGAGGGTCACATTCTGACTCCAGTGCTGGACTTTTTCTTTTATGTCATGTTGGAAACCAAACATTGAGTTTGTTCTTTTTCTTTTCTTGGAGACAAAGTCTCACTTTGTCACCCTGGGTTGAGTGCCGTGGTGTCATAGCTCACAACAACCTCAAACTCTTGGGCTCAAGCGATTCTCTAGCCTCAGCCTCCCAAGAAGCTGAGATTAGAGTTGCCCACCACAACACCCAGCTATTTTTTCTTTTTCTTTTTCTTTTTTTTAAAGAGGAGGTCTCGCTCTGGCTCAGGCTGGTATTGGACTTGTATGCTCAGGCAGTTCACCCACCTTGGCCTCCCAGAGTGTCAGGATTACAGGCATGAGCCACCATGCCTGGCCTGAAACATTGGGTTTTTATCACCTTTCTACCATATAATCACTTTATACCTCAGTTTTCTGAACTAAAAACACTATGTGAGGCAGAGCCTCAGACAGTGGCAGGCACCTCAAAAGGTGACTTTGGCCACCAATCTAGAAAATAATTTTTTCTTCATATGACATTAAAGTTTGGGGGCATTGATAATATCTCTTGTCTTCTGGTGTAGTTAAGGTTCTGGAAGTAGAGAATATCTTGATAAAAAAAATTAGGATAACCTTAATCAGCTTTTACAGCTCTAAGTAGGAGGTTCCATGTCATAAGTAGTTTTCCCTTAGTAAAGATGACACAGTCACTTTTCTTAATAAATTTCTCTGGTTTCAGCCTATGCTAAGGGGAGATACTATATTTTCTGTTTCTGCATTACCCATGTGCTTCTAATCAGCAGGGCAGTGAAGAGTAAGAGGATGTATGCAAATAACACTAAGTAGTCTCTGTATATGATGATAATATAGGTAAAGTGCTTTGGGATCCTTTATGAATGTATGTAGTGCTTCTGATGGGATGCTTGCCAAAAGTGAAAGAATTGAGTGGTCCTATGAGAAGCATCCATGGAAGCTTCAAGATTTTCCCATGATGCTTTATAAGCTAAAGGATATTTGCATGGACCTGACTTAATCTTGGGTATGTGTGTACACCCACACACACCTCTCTTTTACCATCTCTTTATCTTGCCCTGGATCACTTACCACCAACATATTTTATTTTCAGGCCCCTTCTTAGTCTATCATGTGCATATACCATATGTATTTGAAGCCAGCTTGAAGAAGGGTGAATGTAATTGTAGAATGACTGCTAGGTCAGGAAGAGGGGTAAAATATGGGCTACTTAAATATATAATTTCTGCGACAGAGAATATTTTCCTGAAAGTAAAATGGTGTCTTTCTAGAGACTCTTTAAGTTTTTATTCTGTTCTGTTTTTTCTACAGAACGTACTCCTCATTCCCTTTTTGAGTTGGCCTTTTTAAGAAGGGCAGATAGACTCTCTCAGACTTTATGACTTGTCATTTTCTGGCACAGAGGCTTTACATAGAAGCACTGATTGAGTCATGGCTACTGAACACTATCTCTGCCTCACTTCCTCTGTAATTCCCTAAAGCATCACAAAGCTTGATTAGTTCAGACACTGAAGTCTACTGGGAACTGAGTTAATTTTTACCTCTGAGTTTTGCCAGAGAGCAGTAGAAAATGCCTATATTAACCATTTTTACCAGTTATAAAATAATACATGCTAAGAGATTTAAAAACATAGATACTCCTAAATGAAAAGCAAAATAAGTTTACCAAAAGTTAACCAATATTAACAGTTTCGTTTTAAACCTTCTAGATATTTTCCCCCATGGAGATACATTTTTAACAAGTATGTTTATGGTTTTTCAATTGCTTTTTTCATTATGTAGAATATCCTATCTAGATATTCTTCTCTGTCCATACAGTTAATTCTTCTTAATGAGATGCCTCTTTTTATCCAAAACATTTGTTAGATGCCTTCTCTTCTTCCAGATTCACTGGTTCTTAAACTTTGGTGTGTGTGAAAATCACTCAGGGAACTTATTAACTACCTCCAGAGTTTTTGATTCAGTTGATCCGGGGTGTCTAGAGAATTTTCATTTCTATCCAATTCTCAGGTGATCCTGATGGCTCAGAGACTATACTTTGAGAGACTCTGTGTTACACCTTGGCTATTTTTATTCATGCTTATTAATGATTTTTTTTTTACTCTTCAGCAGATAGTCAGAAGAGCCCCTAGAAAAAAGTCCAAGTGACTTTATCTTTGAAAAAAAACCTGGATAAAAATATAGGTTTATTAAATAAATATATTGAGCAGAGGCAGCAAAGCCCATTCAGTAGGGCAGTAATTTATGGTAATGATGGTATAATGAAGTCAGAGCCACTTGAGGACATTTGTGCAGTCTCCTCCTGAAGGGGTTTCCCCAAACCCAAGCAAGCAAGGTGTTTCTGAAATGGTTACAATAATAGCTTGAAGATAGCTCTTGTTCTCATTGATCCATAATCCTAATTTTATTCCCACTATTTGACCTGTGTTCCCTAGTGTGTTTTCCTGCCTCAGGCTTAAAGACTATGAAAGCTTCTGATTGTAGGGAAATCCCCAGAAAAAGCCTAGTAAACAAAGCTAAGGTTATGTAGATTTAAGTTTGTGTGCTCCATTTATAAGAGTTTCTAGTGATTTAGAGACATCAGTCTCTTTCTGGTTCAGAGAGGGAGACACTTAGAAAAGATTTCCTTTATAGATATAAATTTCTCTTACGAATGAGTAACTTCTCTTGTTTTCAGAGCTCTTATCTGCAATTTCTCAAAATATTCAGCTCGAAATAATTCTTCCACCATAAAGGCATATTTTGGGGTGGCCTATTCTGGTCTACAATCATATTTCAGGATAGCATGTCCTGAACCCCATCAATGGTAAGGGAAAGAAGCTGTTCACAACAGACCAAGTATTGTATAATTCCATTTATAAGAAGTGTTCAGAATAGACAAGTTTATAGATAGAAAGTAGACTCAGTATTATGGAGGGCTGAGGGAGATAGAGGGATAGGGGGCTACTGTTAATAGGTACAGAGTTTCTTTTTGGGATATGAAGATGTTCTAAAACTGATTGTAATGATGGTCATACAACTCTGTGAATCTAGTAAAACTGCTGAACTGTATAGTTTAAATGAGTGAATTATAAGGTACGTGAATTATATCTCAGTAAGGCCATTGAAAGAGAAAAACAAGAGATTATTGCCTGAATCTCTTCAGGCAATAAGGTTTTAGACCCTTCAAGTAGAATGTCAGTCTTTTTCTTTTTCCTTTCCTCTTCCACTTAGATAGGAATGAAGGGCAGAAAGAAACCTAGTGATAGCCTCTGGCAGGCAGAGGCAGAATACTACAATTATTAAAAGCCTAGGCTCTGGAATCAGATCTACAAATGCAGATTCTGCCCCTCCCTATCTCCCGCATTGGTAGCTATGGGACCTTGGGCAAATCCTGTGCTTAAGCTTACTATTTCTCAGGGTTTTTTATTTTTCATCTAACAAGTATGGGGTACATATTTCATAGGTGGTTAGGAAGATTAAGTGAGATAATCCATGTAAAGTTCTGTGTATAGCATTCTGTAAACTTAAATAATCGGTGACTAACATGAGAAGATCACACTGAATGGAGGTTTATTAAGCCCAGATTTTTTTTTTTTTTTTTTTTTGAGACAGAGCCTCAAGCTGTCCCCCTGGGTAGAGTGCCGTGGCATTACAGCTCACAGCAACCTCCAGCTCCTGGGCTCAAGCGAGTCTCCTGCCTCCGCCTCCCAAGTAGCTGGGACCACAGGTGCCCGCCACAACACCCGGCTATTTTTTGGTTGCAGCCGTCGTTGTTTGGCGGGTCCGGGCTGGGGATTCGAACCCGCCACCTTAGGTGTATGTGGCTGGCGCCTTAGCCGGTTGAGCTATAGGCGCTGAGCCTAAGC